TCCCACCTACAGCCACTCCGAAAAATGAAGGCACTTTACTTAGACCTGCCAACCCCTCAACCCTCCAGTTCGTAGCCCTATGAAAATCCGTTCGCCCCCCCTGTTCAAGAACACTGGTCGTTACGACTGTACCCATGTTCTGAGGTAGTTTACAGGTCGCCTGACCCGGCTGGGCGCAGAGGGCTCAGACCGGTCATGCGGCGATCTGCCCGGTCCGCCTTGCGAGCTTCGAGCTCCTCGCGAGAGCGGAGCAACCTCGGGCGGGCTCGCGGAGGGAAGGAAGGAAACGGCTATCTTTGGGTACACTCTGACTCACTAACATGGTATGGTTTTTATGTGCTGTTATGCTTTACTTAGTGACTCAGTATATCCCTAAGAAGTCCAAAGACGATGTTTTGACCGACTAAAGTAATGGAGAGTCCTTTTTGGGTCACCCTTTAGGGCCATTCTTTGTATAGTCTTTGACACCTATCTTCGGGTAAGGGAAATACTTGGTGGACTGGTCCTTTCATTGTAGACGGTTGATGAACAACCCCAACAACCCCAACAACCCCCGAACCCCCCCTGCTAGGACGGTCAAACAGTTACATTGGTGAGAGTCAGCCAACAAGGTGCAACATGCGCAGAAGCGCTGTGTGCGGCGTTTTCACAGCGGAAACACGGCTTCAAAATCCAGTGACAAACACATCGAACACTCCAACTCATCAGGTTCAGTCCACTTTCCACCAGTGAAAGCCGGTAAAAACACCGTGTGAGTACCGAACTTGGTGGCTCAAAAACAGGGTAGACTGACCAGTTTCAGCCGGATTCGGAAACTGATCAGTCGGATTCTGAAACTAGGGTTTTGAAACTGACCAGCAATTCAAACACGTGGAAACACTGCCTACCACTTGTATTAAGGGCTCTCTTTGATCCAATGGGTGATGCCTGTAACACAGAAAAGAGGATGATCTTGAGAGGCGTGAATCACCACTGCAGGGTCAAGGTCAGCCAGTACAAATGTGTGCGAATCATCCAGTGGTGATGTCCCACAGAAGAAGATGCTATTCATTGCTACTGATGTTTGTGGGGTCTTCACATTCATTAATTATTAAATATAGTTTTTTGTGAGACTTCTGAGCTTTACTGCTGCATCTTCAGAACTTCACTTGAATGAGACGCAACTAAGTAAAAAGAGCCGTGTCAAACATGTGCACAATGTTATTGGCTTGTTTCATCATTCGACTACTTTCAGGTTCCGGAACCAAGCTAGACCTCCCTGAGTGAGAAGCTCTTCATCTTGAGTCCTCTTTTGGGGGGCGAGGTCAGGAGTGAGGATCAGAAGGGGACCATTCCGGGCCTCAACTCTTGCTTCTTCTGTGTTAAGATTGTGGAGTGAATTTAAGTCTGGTCCTCGCTAGCAGTCTCAGCGCAAAAAAACGAAACAAAAGGATACAAAAGAGAAGACAAAGTGATTTGCACATTTTGCACGCATGACTTCGCAACCGCAAAACAAGAGCATCATCGGACCGCTTTTCAGCATCAAGAAATTGTGACGAGTTACAACAGTGCATTGAACCCGAAAAGGCAAACACAGCACGACATGATGTGTACTCAAAGACAGCTACCCTCTGAGCTCTCCTGCTCGGCATCTTTCTGCTTGAGCTCCTCTTTGAGTCTCTGCATCTGGCGACATCCGGCTGGGGCACAGGTGTTCTGGTCGGGAGAACGTCTAACGAGGGAGAAGGCAAATAGTAGCATACATCCCAGCCACGGCAGAAACCAAGAAATCATATTGAGATACATTGTTAAAAGGAACATCAACCATCATCAAACATCTCGATTCTGGAAAGCAACGGCTTAAAAACATCCCACTGGAACCTGTTGCCATGGGTCCTGGACCCGTTCCCAGGGTCCAAAATCCGGGGCGCCCGCGACGCCGCCTCCTGGGCCAGGCGCTCCAAGTCCGAGGCCTGACGGGACGCGACGTGGAGCTCGGCCGAAGGAAGGAGATCAGAATTGAGGTTGATGTCGAGTGGACACGGTGTTGAAGGTACAGATTCTGATTCAAACGAAGAACAATCGTCTATTTTGGTTCAATCGGTTGATTCTGATCAGATTTGCCTGGCAGAATTTGATTGGGGTCGCTTTCCGTGACCCAACGAGGGAGCAAGTTGGACATCGAGGGTCGAGGGGATTGGACACCTAATTGCCAGGGACGACCAGGGCGAAGTGGCTTGTCAAGGCAGCCGTTCGCCATCGAAAAGAATATCCTCAGAATAGCTCAGTCCCGCTGTCGTTCTTGCATAGAAATAATATCTTCGAAAGACTCAGAGACCGCGAGATTGGGCGAACATTCGCCAGGGAATGCTCAACTCGAATTGCAGGTCTTCTCATCATGTGATGTCCACTTCCGTCCCCTTGTCCCAGTGTCCCAGGGTACCTCCTACAGCGGCGGAGCTTGACGTCCGTTCTGGAGGGCTTGCTTACTCTCTGACTCCCGAGCAGGAGATCACTGGAAAATTAATATATATATATATATTAATATTATATATATATATATACAAAGAACTTCCAGTGACTCTTTTACTCCACCTGGTAGTCATGATCCACCACTACTATGAGGGTATGAGGGTAAAATGAGTCAATTTGGACTCCTAGGGATATGTATATATATAGTTTAACATTAGTTTAACTGTTAAACTGAACTGTCCACCTGTCCACCTGTTCTTGTTTGGTAGTGGGAACAACAAGAACCCAAAAAAGGTTTTGCAGGTTATCCACTTTTCCTGGTAGGCACTTCTGTTCTAGGAGGCACACAAAGGCAGAAATGGTCAACAATTCTGTATAGGGTCCCTAGAGAATTCATTTGCACCAAAATATGCGGGAGAAAAGACACGACACACGAAGCTACTAGTAACAATTGCCACGCTAGTAGTAACAGGTGCCTTACTAGTAGTAACAAGTGCCA